TTTTCATAAGAAACTCTAGATATAAAGTTTTGTTAATGCTCATATCAGATATTTAGCAGATTGTTTCGATGGCAGTGGTTTCCTAGGATGCCATTTTTCTTTTTCTCATGGCTGGTCCTGGTCTGTTTGGCGAGCTTGAAGTTCACCACTGCTAACTTTTTAGTTTGGTGAATGAGAACTTCATAGACCTTTGAGTTGCTGTACTTCTGTATACTTCCCTGTCTGTGTGACTGTGAACAGCAACTGTCTGATGTAGAATGCTGTCCCTATCACCACTCAGAAGCCGTTCTAGCTCGGTGGAACAGTTGTTTTTAACATTTGAATCACAGAGCCCCTTCTTCTTAGTCTCTAGGGATACAAAGCATGTATCTGTCTCCAAATTCTTATTTTAGGAGTACAGATGATGAAACATCTGTGAGAATGTCAGTCAGGATGAGTAGCTTGTCCATGTAGAGAGGCCCTCTTCTCCTAGGGTGGCAGGAGGTGTCTGGTGTCTGACTGTCCTTTGTTCTCCTGGCTCTTTTGAACGTAAAGGAGTCTGTAAAGGGGACTTCCTGGGCTTTTTAGCCAATGGCACATGTTATCTTGTGCTTTTCTGAAATTCGTCTGGTTTGTGCTGAGCTGCATTATTACCTGTAGGTCTTCTCTGGTGAGCTTTAGCAAATTTTTCTCTTAAGATGTCTCACTTAGTTCTGGGAAGAGTTCTGATACTTCCAGCTACGAGCGTATCTTTTAGGCTCTCATATTTGTAATTACAACACATTTCTGATCTCCTTTGTTTCCATTTCATTCCCTGATATTTGCTGCTTCCCTCTACAGGATCTCCCTCTATGGGATCTCCTGTGATATTGCGCACATCTGGAGATCCAGAAAATCCTCCATATCCTCTTGTACTTTGTTACCTGTTCCTCAGTTCCTCCTCCATTAAACTATGCAGCATTTCATGTAGCTGAAGCTTCTTGCTTTTAAGCAGGAAATAGGATATGATACCTCACATGCAGGTGATAGATAGGATCACAGGATAATTCAGATTGAAAGGGGCCTCAGGAGGACTCTGCTCCAACCTCCTGCTCAAGCAGGGTCAGCTGTGAGATCAAACCAGGTTGTTTGGCACTTTAGTTGGGTTTTGAAATGACTGTGTCTTCCTTTGCCTTTTCAGGAGGTTTGTAATGCAACTTGGAGTCCTGGACTTAATGAAATTGGGTATCTGTTGGAACAATCACAACTTCCATCTAGCTTTGAATTTGCTTTCTGTGAAAATGGGCAAAGGGAAAAAAGATACCTTCCCTTTGTCTTCCTAGTGCTTCAGTATGGAGTTGGAATGGGTTCAGCATAAACACACAAACCAGGAGCTTGTTATTGGGTTTCCTAGCCCAAAAATAATCAGTAACTGATTTCTGTCAGCAGCTGTGACTTGAGGCAATGCAACACTAAGTCTACACAGTACCCAAATGCTTGTCTCTACAGTCTCATCATATGTACCTGGGCAGTATCAGCCCAGTCCCCTGCAATACTGTGTGGAGCTGTTTTACCTTTCTGTGGTCCAGGCTTCGTTCTCAATCTAATGCCCAACCTGAAACCAGGTTGCCTTCATCAGACTTGGACATCTGGCAAATCTGCTTGTATAGACTCCCGGAGAAGCTCTGCTAGTAACTGCTTTTTGCTCAGTGCAAGGACCCGTACAACACTACTGCTGCAGGAATTTATGCTATTGTGAATGTAACCTTACCTGTGGTTTTTAAAGTTTCCTGCTTAGCTCCTTAGATCTGAAGCCATTAAATCTTGAAGACTATTCCCAGCTATCAAAACCTAATGCATTCTTAGATGACACCTCTCTCTGAACCTTTCACTTTGTTAATGATCTCTGCAGGAAAAAAAAGGCAAAAAGCTACACTAATATCCTGTTCAACTTTTCAGAAGTTTGGTGTTTATGAAACACTAAGCAGTGTGTTCACTGCTATATGTACTGCAGAAATAAAGTATGTTTTTCACTGTTATAGATCTACAATCCACAGTCAAGTGTTTGTTTGTGTATGGTATTTCCTTTACATGCCACTTCCGGTTGTACACTTCTACAATAAAAATGTGATAGTAAACAATCGTTAAGCATACAGTCATTAGTTTAGTGGTGCCTAACGTAATGCAAATAACCATGTAACACTTGCATTTGCTTATTTCTATTGTAATGGTTGTATGTGTTATCTAGCTTCAGAGTCCAGATTTGGTATCTATCCCTTGCAAAGTAGGTTGAATTACATCTTCCAGGAAGTGAAAAGAAAGGCTTGAGCTCTTCCTCTAAATACTTTTTTCTTTTCCATGATCTTTTCTACATTTTTAGGAATTGTTGAATAAAAGTATGAAATGCAGTAGTGGAATATCATGCATCAAAGATAAAGTCTGCTTGTATGTCATTGTACTTTGTTTCTTAAGCAGAGCATTCTGGATCTTCACCTCTTTAGCTTTAATGCTTCCAACAATGTTTTGTCTTAAGCAGTTTGGGTGGATCTGGGTTTGGAACTGTGTTTTTGTTGGAATGCCTCTACTTTGGATCCCTGCAGTTTTCAGCGCTTGGAAAAGTTATAACTTACAATAAAAGACAAAGTAAACAAACCATCAAAGGGGAAAAAATTAAATCTCTGTTTATTCACCTGCACGCTAGAGATGAATCTTATTCACAGCAGCAAGCTAAAATACTCTAGATATTAAAAGACTTGGACAAAAATGAATTTGTTTAAATGCCTAGGACTTTGTTCCAATAGGATTTGTGTCCCAGATGTTGATTTGCAGCATCAACATGCTGGATGAAGTTTCCCGTTGAACGTGCTGTCAGACAGTGGCACATAGGTTATATACAGGGGGAACAGATAAATATAGCTAATGACAACTTGGTGTTTGCATCCTTTTCTGTGCGTTTCTGTAATTAAGAAATAGGCTGTGACAGCTGGTACACTTAGGAATGGGAAATAGCATGGGACTCTGAAGACGGGAGGTCTGCTGGTGACCATGTGAAGTTTAACCACCTGAGAGGTGGAAGAAGTACATCGCCTCATGAAATCTCCTGGACCAGACCTCTCCCACCAGCGCAGGATCATGAGGAAAGTAAATGAGTGTTTGTTTTTCATTTATATCTTTGTAGCGTCCAGGTTGATGTTATAAACAGAGTTGGTCCAAGATATGATACATCTCTCTGAAAGGAATGTGGCTATTTCTTCTGTATTAGAAATTGAACTAGCAGCCTGTGTTTGAGCATGTCATTGTACTTCCGAATGCGATTTTTTTTTTTTTTCCAAAGGAAGGCAAATAAACTCTCCACTCTAAATAAACTGGGGACTGTGGGGCTGTCATGTATCACCTTTCCTGCCTCCCTTTCCCTCCATATGAAGCCCAGAAAAAGTACTGTTAGGAAATGTAGGTGAAAGCTGGGTGCCTTAGCTGAAGAACGTGATTTTTAAAAGCCTGTTTGGAAGGACATACAATTAGTTTTGAAAACTTGCTAATTCTTGCTCTAGATGCTTTAATGTAGCCTCTTTGCATTAGCAGAGCTCCCAGTGCTGAGTAGCCTATGCAGTTACCTCCCAGTAAGCTGATAAGCCAACACTTATCAGAGGAGCCTGGCTGAGGCGTGCTTTAGGTGCACCTCTCAGGCCATCAGCACTGAATTCACCTCAGGACACATTATCTGCTTTAGCTTCAGTCTACAATTTAAAACCCTCACCTGTGAAATAAAAGGCATCCTATAGATGAGAGTGTATGCATTCTCACTTAGCTGTCTTCAGGAGGGCTGTGATTATTTTCTTCTTTTTTTAATGGCTTTAGGGGATTTTTACATTTTAGTCTATAGAACTGTAGAAAACTAAGCGTGTAATTAAAGCAAAATTTAAATAACAGAAATCAGAAGGCAAGTTATCCTCCCAATGTATCGTGTGTTAAAAATTCTCTTGTTTTTTGTTTTTGGAGTTTTTTTGAAGGTGCTATATGTTTTTGAGGGAGCATGTAATCAAATTACCTGGGGTTAATGAAGTATCCTAAATCATAAATCCACCTTACAGATGTTAAACAGCTTACGCTGTGGATACCTCTGCAGAGACTGAAGAGCTCAGATAAGATAGAGAATTTTGAAATTTGGAGCAGGCAAAACTGCCCACAGCTGTGCAAACAGTACAGAGATGGACACGTATTGGCCATGTTTCCATAATGCTAGACTACAGGGTTCCTAAACAGGCATCGTTCTGGCATCCCGTAAGATGAAAAAGAGGTCATCTTACAGGGGCTGTTCTCAGCATGAAGACGACTGAAGCAGCCACTTTACAAATCGACAACTTGAATAAATTAAAGCAAATGGCTGGTCCAGGGTAGGATTAGTTCGTGTTATTTCTTGCCTAGTAGTACTATAGCTGAAGCGTAATGGCCTGTAATTTAGAACTTAGAAATGGGATTGGCAACGTGGACATGAAGGCGAATCATGTATGACTTTTGAACGCCAAATAAAAGTTTTTGAGGGGATCTAGGCTTAGAGGTAGATGAACTGTGAATGATATTTGTGGTTCATTGGTTGATAAGGCTTGTTTTTCTGAACAGGATTATTTTATTGTTTTTTTTTTTTTTTAATTTTTATTCTATTCTAATATTTGCAAGCACCTTATGACTGTAGTGCTTGGGCCTTTTATTATCCCCAATGTTTCAAGTATGAGCTTTCAGTTACTCCCTGTCAGGGAGTGCAGGAAGACCTAAAATAAAAGTGAAACTGATGAATTTGTGAACACAAGCAAATAGCAGTAAAAGCTAATATTTCCTGTGGAATTTGAACAGGGAATGGCAGACTTTCCTTTCTGTATCCATTTCTGTACTTGATTTTAGGATGGCTAGTGATGAAGTGGTGGCTGTGACCTGTCATAGGTGGTCCATATTTTTTCTGTCCTGCAGCCAAAAAGGACTTCCTGAGCATGAAATGTAAATCGACTCTGCTGGATTTCTGAATTGGAAGGACAAATGTAGCCACTGGGGAAATTAAAGAGTTCTGAGCAGCCAGAGTGAGGAAGCTCTGCCACCCCATTTCTACGGGGAGAGGAATTGTCCCCCAAGGAAATGAACAGAAGAAAATTGTGGAAGACAATTCACACCAGCATCAGAAGCATGAAGCAGCATTCAGGAGGGTTGAAGGCAGGTGAGGGTCAGTAGGCCAGAAATAACAGACAGAAGAGAACTAGGAGAGTGAAACACTTCCAGTTGGTAGCAGTTACTTAAGAGGTAAACCATGAGTGATGTTTTTTAAAAGATCCAGATGGTTAAATGAAGAAAGATGGCTGAGATACCTCTGTGGATGGCAGTTCAGTCCAGCCTGAAAAAAAAGAAAATCAGGAATGTCCTTAAAATATCTAAGCACCCAAGACCTCATGAAAAAAAACATGGAATGTCACGCTATTGACATGTAGGCTTATGAATTTGGAAGTTAGTATCCAGCACCGATGATGCCTGTAGGTGCTAAATATTGTAGACTATCTCCCAACACATAGATGACTTATTGAAACTTGTGTAGGTGCTGAAGGAGAGTAATATCTAACCAATCTTGTCAGTGATTCTTCCTACTACTCTGGTAGGGAAAACACAGTACAGAAAATTCTGGAAGTAATGAGCTGGGTAGCCATGTGGTAAAAGTAGAATACTTTGATTTAGTGGAATTTTATTCCACTTTCTGTGGAATGTATATATAATGAAGACGAATCTTGTGAGGCCTAAACTAGAATAGTCAGAATGACATTAAATCAAAACCAAAAGAGTGAAAAGAGATGACAAATGACAGCATCTTAAGCATACAGTTATGATACTGAAAATGTAATTGAGACCTCTCTCCAAAGGAAGTAAAGAAATGGTTTCATCATAATAAGCCGGCCAAAATTGTTCACGTAAGAGTATAAATTCAATGGTCTGGTGTAAACCTCATCAAAGTGAAATGTTACCCCACGGTTAGTCTACCTACCGAGGAAGAGTGGCGCTTTCTTGAACATGAGAGTTCTCCGAGTTGTTGATAGCTTGGGAAAAAATGATCTTATATATTTAAGGATTAGTATCCTGAGAAAGATGACACTGGGCGATCTCCTGCATAACTCAAAACGCGCTGGAGAACAAAATGGCTGGCTTCTTAAACAGACCTGTATGATACTTGGGAAGCTGTGTCTCTGTGGTCAAAAGAACTTATATATAGCACATGAGTATTTCAAGAGACTAATATCTAGGAATATTAGAGAGGTTATATTGCTTCTGTATTTGGCACTGGTACCATCCCTTTTCCATTGCTGAGCTCTTTTTTTGCTCTCCATAAGTCTATTGATAAAATGGTAAGGATTTGATCAAAGGTTTGGATACTTTGCCTTGCGGTGAGACATTCTGGACTCTTGCTCTGTTTACCTTACCCGTGAGAAGGCGAAGGGTTGACCTGATCACAGTGTCTGCATTGGGGAAAAACCATTGAAAAACTGTTAAAATCTGGCAGATAAAGTTATAAAACGGTCCAGTGGTTACTATTAGAAGTTCAAAATTCCATTGCAGATTTTCAACAGTGAGAGTGATTAGCCCCTGTGATATCTTAACAAAGGTTGTGGTGGTTTCCTTACTGCTGACAATTTTAAAATCAAGATTGAATGGTTTGTAAATGATATGTTTTAGTAAAGCTCAAGTTCTGTGGCTTCTTTATATAGGGTATTGGACTAATTAAGCACAAAAGTCCTCCTTGACCTTGAATTTCTTAATTCAGTTAATTCCAGACAATAGCTGGAATAGCTAGTCAAAACTTTTCTGCATTTTAATTTGTTTTTTTTTTAACTGAAGTTTTCTGTCCAAAGCTTGCTTTTGCACAGTTCTAGTAAGAAGTATGTGTTTTTCTTGGCCAGCGCCTAGTCATAGTCCATCAGATGATTTCTAACTGTAATGACTTTGCAGTCTTATAGCATGACCATGTTGGTATATTATGTAATACTGATGTGTGTGTGTGGCTGTTGTATTCTTTGTTCCATTCTTTTGTACCCTGAAGACTTATGCTAAATGTGACTGCACTTTAGTTTATTTTAATTAAATTGATTAAATTAAATATGTATTGGATATTTTTATATTGATACCATCAGTTAAATTCAGGATTATGAAATCTGCTCTCCTCTGCAGTAAGTGCAGCTGCTTGCAGTGGTCTTTTAGTCCTTTGAGTATCTTCTGTACACCTCATGTTTATATTGGTGAGTGAGTGTCTTGGAGACATTTCTGCTAGATCTAAACTAAAATCCAGTTACCGGCATTTATGTAGCTGCAATCCCTGTTCCCATTAAGCTGGTCCTTGTACCAATAAGCCCAGTTTCTGACTTCAGAGAGTTCAAAAGACCAAAAGCAAAGACGGACGAATAGAGACACAATGAACAGGCAGTGATAGTGGGCATTTCGGTGTGGTCTTCTAAAGAAATGATTTTTAGGTAACAATATTTTCTGTCACTAGCTTTCTCTGCCAAGCCCAGGCTCTTTCTCAAAGAGTTTTTTGATTCCATTCTTCAATTTCAACACAGTTTCTACAGAAATGTCAAAATACCAAGTTATTGTAGTGGACTGTAATGCAACACCAGATTCTAAAGACGTTTTTGACAGCTAGCAGGTGGGTATACAAGAAAGACAGATTTATAGTGGTTTTTCTGAAGTGGACTGTAAGACAGTAAAATCCATAGGAAATTAGATGCTGTTAGTTCTTTTACTCGCAGAACAACTTATGTTATTGTGGGGAACAGAGTCGACTCATTTTGTACTGTTGATTCTCTTGTGATTTCAAATGATCCTAACAATTTACTTTAAGCCATATTGCTGAAGCGTTTTTAATATGTTTGATGCAGGGAAGAGTTAAAGTAGTTAACTGGCTTTTTTTTTTACTTGATATGGATCCAAACCATGAAACTTTGAACACCCTTAGAGTTCAGGAGTGTTTCATTCAGTATTTGGGTACTAGTCTGTGTTCTCGAGTAACCTTTTTTAACTTGCCATATTTAATCCCAGTTTTAAAATAAAAAAATCAACGTAGGGAATTAAGTCGGTAAATGCTTTTTCTTTATGCATAGAGATGCTCTAGGATATAGTTGTAGAAGCAGCAAGCAGAAGGTATAGGAAATAATCATCTGTATAGAGGTGTGTGCATGCCTGAGGCGTTTGCACCCGCATACATACTTGTGTAGCTATACAGTGCTGCTGCTGCAAGGAGCTTACAATCTTAACAGACAGCCAGGGCAATAATGCACTCTGAGACCCAGAGGATGGTGCTAACTTGGAGCATGTGTGCGTTTTTAGTTTTATGATGTGACAACAGCAGCATTCTGACACTGGTTAACATTTGTGGGCCTCGTGTAAGGAGTGAGTTTTCCTGAGGGAGCCGAATGGAGAAAACCTGGCTGCCTGGCACACAAAGTCGAGGAGGGTATTCCAGGCATGATAGATGGAGTGGAAATAGATAAGTGAGAACTGAGACAGTAGTGTGATTTATGTGTGTATAATTGTGCATGATGCAAGTGGTAACAACAGATGTTTGACAGCTTGGAACCATGTTATTTTCTCTTGCAGCCTAATACGGAAGGGGAAAAAAAGAGATTATGAAGGAATTTGAAAGGAAGAGTTCAGATTTTTCTGCTCAATGTAGAGAGGCTTTTCACTTCCTTATTCAAAGAACAATTAGATGAGAATTGAAAAGCTGTATGTGATAACGATATATTGCATTTGTTGTGTTAAGAAACCAACATGGAGAAAGAGGTGATGGGGGGATAGACTTTGTAGGATTTGATTATAGCCTGTGTATATAGGGACAAAGAAAGAAAGTTAAGTTGATATCTTCAAGACTGCATGCCAATGTGACACTGAAAATAGTGCCACAACATTTCAGTTCAATAAAGAACGTGTTCCGTGTCCACGTAATTTAGGTATGGAGCATATTGTGTTTTTTTCCTGTTTTGTGACACGTTGAAGTGACAGAAAGGATGCGGTAGACGTCAGTATACTTCCCATATAGCTCTGCCAAAAATGAAAGCAACAGCAAATATGGAAGAATACAAAATCTGTGACATATACTTACTGTATGCAAAATACTGGGAAATTGATCAGTTTGGTACCTCAACAACACAGTAATTTTCAGGTTCTTTCATGAATTTTACTTACTGCACTACAGAATGCAGATCAAGCTCTCTCTCCTTACCTCTAATTCTATGATGGCTTTTTGCCTAATGTAGTAAAGAAAGAGAAGAAAAAATTCTTACGCATTTTTAGTTGTTTTATTATAACCTGGTAACTAGGAGAGCAAGAAAGTAAGTCATTTCTGTGACCATCAAGTATGTGACCATCTTGACCTCGATGTGTTACCCAAAGTTGATAGGTCACAGTTTAATAATCAGTCATTGAAGTAGCAATAGACTTATCATGTCTATAACGCTTCCCATCTGAGGGTTTCAGAGCAGTTTGTAAGCATTAGTGAACTGAATCTCATAGCATTCCTATGAGAGAAAAAATGCAGGCCCAGAAATTACAAGTGATTTGTTAGGGTCACTCAAAGTAAGGGAGGGTCTATATGTGATGATTTGGGGAATCTATTTGAAAGTTACACTTTTGAGATAAATATATACCATTTACAAAATTACTGTATTATTGAACTCTTGCGTATATCTTGTGCTGACTATAAGCTGCGATCTCCATCTCCTAAACAAAGGACAACGGAGGGTAATGGAAGATCGTTATATGCTGTTAGCTCCATTTCATATGAAAATGTTTTTAGGATAGAGTTATAGCTGAAGGCCATGGAAATCAGCATAATTAAATATGGCTGCAGAAAGAGGGCTTATTAACAGACAACTGACCAGAAATAGAAAAAAGAGGTACTTTAGGAGAGTAATGTGGATAGTGTTGGAAAAAAGTTGGACAGTAGAGTTGAACTGAGAGGCATATTCTGTAGCTGAGAAGTCTGATTTTTTTTTTTTCTTAGTGTGGGTAAAGGAGGGGAGATAGACTGAGACCTACGTGGATACTACTAATGTATCTGTTCCAGAGGGTAATCCGTGGTCCCCAGGCCACACTACTGAAAGCAGTACCCTTTCCGTCAGAGTGGCCATGCTATGCAGCAATTGGTCCTGCGTTTCTTCTAGGCCCTGGAGGGTTGCCCTAGGTCATAATCATAATATTTTTATCTCTATTCAAAGCTTCTGAAGTAATGCAAGGGTTGGGTAAAGCCTGCTTGGATAGTGTATTTTACGACAGCTGTTGATGTTGGAGGGTGTGCATGAGTGTAAGTGGGAGTCTTTGAGGGATCCTACTCAAGGCTGTTAGAAAAAGATTGAAGGACTGCATAGCGCAGAGTGGTGCAGCCTTGTTCGTGCTGCCTACTTGGAGTCCCTGCAGCAGACTGCACCCAGAAACATATACGGGTCACTTTTTGGAGGGAGTTAGTTCACTGCAGAAGAGAGTGTAGGACTTGTATCCAGACCGTGTGGATAGTCAAGGCTGAAACTTGGGGTGGGCTGCAGAGCTGTGTTATTTAACAGTAGTGTTCTGTAGCTGCTCAAGAGAAAGAAAGAAGAAAAAAACACCCTTGATTCAGGGAAGAAACAACATGCTGGATATGGGATCCTAACTTCAGCTGATCTGAACTCCAAAAAGCACAAGCAGTGAATAAACTGAAGCATCTTGCAGCTTGCCTTTTGCTTTGTTCCCTTTAATTCTTTTGTTAAAATATAGGGGTCTTTGGGGAACCTTGAACGAGTTGGAGGTAAGAGGGAGATGCATGGAGACTGAAAGGGGACTTAGAGGTCTACAAAACTGCCCACCATGGGTTAAGCAACAATTGTTTTGGAGTACACTGTCACATAATATTTGATGTGGTTATAGATATGCGACCCCTGCTGACGGTGAGATGAGGGATGTGTTCAGGCCTAGCTCATCGTCTGTTTATTTCCCTTCTTGTACGTCTTTGAAGATGTGGATTGTGGCTGTTTCTTATCTGAACTGTAAGGAAAGCTGTGCCCAAGATATTGGGTATACCAGGAGATGAGCACTGGTTCAGGGGTTTAGGGCAGCTGATCTGGTAGGGAATGTTATTACAAAGGGGTTAACAGGGCTGGAGAATAGTGCATATACTACAGAAGGTCTGGATGCTGTTCATGTCAGGAGAATCTTCCCAGCATGTGAGCCCAGTGTCCAGGGACTCCAGCACTTGTGCAGGTCCCTTTGGCTGAGCTGTTGCACACCAGATCTCTTGGCTCCTTGTCCGGCCTGCCACCCACTAGAATTACTTTGTACAAGAAAGTTGAATGCTATCGTGCAAAACTTGCTGAGGCATGCATGGGGGACGGAAGCAGCGAGGGAGTGAGAATGTGGCGTGCAGATGTGTGAAGGTGAGAGTAAAGCTTATCAGCTACTGGTTCCAGAGGTCGGTGGGTTTTTTCTTTTTTCTTTTCCCGGTTCTGCTAGTGAAGTCAGCCACGGAACGTTCCCTATTAAGCATTCATGTTAGCTAAAAGTACCAAAGTAGAGTATGGATCATTTTAATTGTTTGAAAATATAACAGTTGAACATGGTCCTTGTCCTCCTGGCAAGCTGCCATCAGAGCTACTGCTATTGAAAAGCTTTTGACACCCCAAAGAAGACGCTTTCCTGCATAATGTTTCTTTTTGCTTCTGGTAAACCAGGTTTGAACTAGCAAACTTCAGTAAAGCCCTGCGGCCAATTTAATATTTAAAAGAGATGTGTTAAGTTATTCTGGTTTCAGAAGCCTCTTGAGCCATCCTCCCTCTGCTAACCTCAGCACCTGAGAAAGAGTTGATGGCACATGCGGGCAGGGGGGAGTTGTGTGACTCTGGAGAGAGGCAGGGTAGCGAGAGCCCCTAAGAGCAGAATGCAGTTCGGGTTTGTGTTGCAGTATCATTCAACTCGGAAAAGGAGAGTATAACGTAGTTGAAGCCCCAGCAGCTGGTGACCTAAAATGGTAATCTGCTTGAAATGTCTCTTTGGTAATGTCGGGGCAGGGGGGCGGTCAGGCCCGTTTTGGATAGAAACTTGCAGATAAAAACTCTTAGAAGCTAAAAGCTGCTTCTCTCCAGTTGGAAATAACAGCCTTGACATTCCCATTAGAAAGACTAAGAAGCAACTGCGCGGAGGCAGCCACTCTAGTACCCTAAAAGGTAGGGGGCAGCACAGGTGCCACAGTAAGAGCGGCCGTTGCTCCTTCTGCCCCAGTTTTGCAGAGTGAGTTCAGTGCTCTTACTAGCTCTCTGTTCGCAAGGCATATAAATGTATCCAAGTGTGTTGTAATTTTTTATTTCAAAGTTGCATTAGTGTGGTTTCTGGATTTTCATCGCAATGGCATTTCAGGTGCATATACTAGGGTGCTGATGTTATGTTTATGTTTTGCTGCTGTTGTAGGCTTATGTGCTTAGCTTCAAGCTAGAATTTAGCACCTGGGTTTTACTTATGTTATGCTAGTGAACTTTATTCACCTTGATCTCCATTGCCTGTACCTTTATGAAAGCAGTGGCGCCATTTCATTTTATCATTAAGTGGCACCACATATTAGTTAAAAAAAAACAAAGAGATTGCATTTCTATTTATTCCCTGGCCAGTGCAGATGTGTTAGAATGAGCGCGCTTTCAGAGCCTTCCTTTCAAAACTACCTGTAACTGTGAAGTGGATAAGTAAGATTTCAGAGGGAAGAGGACCTCCAGCCAAAAAAACTTTCGAAATGATCTTAAAATGTGATTTATCTTCTTATTTTGCAGCTAGCTATGGACCAAATCCAATTTGCAAAGGCTGTTTATCTTGTTCAAAGGATAATGGGTGCATCAGATGCCAACATAAGTTATTCTTCTTCCTACGAAGAGAAGGAATGAGGCAATATGGTGAATGCTTACATTCCTGCCCATCAGGGTACTATGGACTCCGAACGCCAGATATGAACAGATGTTCAAGTGAGTCTTTTTAAAGTTTACATTCACTTTTGTAGAAAAGCCATAATTCACGCTCCATTTCTAAGATGATATATTGCAGAACATAATGATATTTCTACAGATGTCTCAGGATAGTCATAAAACTTCTTTGCTAAAGAACATCCAAGCTAAAACCAAGATGTGCAACACTGAACAAGTCAAATAGTGTATTGACTTAGTTTAGTATTATTGTTGTTATTTTAGTTAGAAGGGTAACTTAGGAAAAAATGAGGATTTAGACAGATATTCCTAGTTTTAACAAACAAATTCCCATTACATGAAATTAAAAAGGGTTAAGTGTTAATTTAACAATGCCTCGTGCAGCTACTAGTTTAGTGTATGTCCTTATACACGGGTGGGCAGAGCAGACGTGTCCTGTCCCCTTTCTTCCCACACAAATGTCATGTGACCAGACACCTCACACCAGACCTGTTTTAGTATGTGTTGCTATTTTAATAAAACAGATGTAGTATTAAAAGTGAAAGACTGTTTGTTTGTTTTTAACAGTACATTTTATATGGAAATTTACAATCTGCTAATGTGCAACAAGATTTTTTTTTTGCATGTTTGTACCTAAAAGCACAACTTTTTAAATCAATGAGTGCTCTAGTGTATCTACACATTATTTCACCATCATCTGTATCAGCCAGTTGTGACTATTTGTATGGCTTTTTCGATATGCTCACACATGAGGTATTACCTGTATGGATTATTAATCATTGCTACTACCTCTAATTCCTATTTATGATTTTGTCATGTTTCATAGTCTAACCTGAGTTAGGTCGCCAAACATAAGAACCTGAAATGAGAAATATCTTGTTTTGCTTCGTGAAATAGTCAAATGTTGATTAAATGTATGGCACTCATCCTGCACAGTACTGCAGAACGTCACTGGGATGCACTGTGTTGTGAGGAAGTGGGTGCTGTCTTTCAGATGACATATAATCTTGATATCCATATGAGGTCACTCTGTGGCACTTTTCACTGGAATAAGAGCATTAACTCCAATGCTCTGGCCAGGTTCCAACTCATGTAATGACATCCCGCCTGTTTTTCTAAATTCCCTGTACAGTTTCAGTGGATATGAGAGTCTTCACTTTGTGTTCCCAACTGTTATGTAATGTTGCTGAGCGCTGCCTAATACATACCAGGTGGCTAGATTTTGATGAAAAATGAAATGAGACTAATATATAGTTTATATATATCCCTTTTGTAAAGTACTTGGGGATCTTGGCCTTAGTTTTCATAACACAGTTATGAATTCAGCAGCTTGTCCACTTTAAACCTTTCAAAGCTGGCCTATAAGTACTTGCCCACAAAAAACAATTTTTGAATGCTATTATAGTTTTGGGAAATAGATAAATTCATCTATATTGGCCTCTACTGTGATTGTGATATAGGAAATATTGAAGTCTGTATAGGAAGTCATTCTTTAAGTCAAGTTATTTGCAGAGGGTGGATTGTGAATAAAATACAACTTTTTAAAAATTTTATCACTTACAGAAAGTGGCCTCTTTTCCTGAACTACAGGATACGTTTTGAAAAGCATAAATGGGAGCTGTGTCCAACCAATATTGGCATGTGTTGAGTGCTAGATATTTAACTCACCCTCATGCCTTTGACAGTCTCCCCCTCTGAGAATAATGATGTAGCTGCATTTACAGACCAATTCGAGTTCCTCTCCAGTGATTTGTGCATTATATAATTTTCTTTTGATGTAATTTCCAACTGACGTATTTGTAAATCACATTTTCATTTTTGCTCTTGGTTTAGTGATCTTACATGGCACATGCATTGCACTGTGGGGACACAGACGTTTTGTAGATTCCAGTTGAGTTAAGGTAAATATTCTTAAACAGAATAGTCTTACTGAAATAGAATAGGCGCACTTAATTTATACATAGTTATTTACAGGTTCTATCGCTCAGATAGTGTTTTCCCAGTTAAAAATGACAGACAATGCTAGCAATGGTAAAAAATGCTAGCTATGTTAAAAAAACCTTGGGGAGCCCTTGACTTGCATAAGCTAAAATTATTTCTGCCCTATTAATGTCTTTACAAACACAAAAGCTGTTTAAAATTTTATTACTGGAGCATTTGTGTTAGAGAAGCTTTAGAGCATACTTCTGCGAAACAAGCTGGCATGATTTTAAAAGTCAAATGTAGTTAGTGCCCAACATAACATGATATGTACTACAGCCAAAAGTAACAGCTCCAAAGTTATGGGAATTTTGAATTTCAAGATTAACTTCTTCTGTACGTGTAAGCAGTATGTGTGTTTTGAAATTGCTAAGTGGTTCTAGACTATTTTTCTAGTAATGGCGAATCATGTAATTTTGAGATTGCTTATCTCTCAGTGAAGTTTTCTGCTTGAAAGAAACTAACTTCTCTAGATGGCATGATTTTCATCTTGAACACTGAAGCATGACGTGCACTACATTTGGAACATGGAATTTGAAAGTGTTTGTTCAGTCTTTTCTGTAGAAGAACGCCCAAGAGAAAAACTGCATTAGGTTTATTTTCCAAAAATTGTAATAATTAAGTAATTTTGAACTGAACTGTCTCAACAAGAAATAATCTCCCAAGAAAAAAATAATGTTGAATTAAAGAATAAATATGAAATCTGTCACCTCAGTGGCTCGTTTAACAGCGATCTGATTAATGTATCAAGCCTATCTTGAACCTTTCAACTTAGTATGTAACCATAGTAACCTTTACCATTTTGGGGGAGGAAGCACTTACTAGAATTTAGTAATTACAGTTCCCTTCAGCTTTGATAGGCTATTCCATTTGTTTAGGTTCACCTTTACTTCTCGCAGGAGGGCCTGACATTGCTGAAATTGTTATTGCATGTTCCATGTACCTTAAGTAAAAACAAGATAAAGAGAAGCTTTTAAACAGCTCAAGTATTTATTAAGCACATTTAGGTAATATGCTGTATTAAGAAAGGTAATGATTTTTTTTTAAACCTGTTACAAAATAGCAAGACTTCATTAATATATCATGGCTTGACTGTTGCTCATGTAGCATAGCAGGGCATATGAAGTTTTAAGATTTCTGTAACCAGTGCAATTCAAAACAGACTGTCAGTGGGATCAAGGATCGCAAGGACAACACACTGAACTTTAAAATGACTCTTCTGAGTTTTTAGAAATAGTTTTCATTACTTTTCCATTCATTTCCTTCAAATATGATTTTATCTTTAAAAAACGAGCTTTATGGTTCAACATAGCATTTTCGATTTTGCAAATTAAATTAGGTAGCCAGAACTTGAGGTCTACATTGATCATTATTTTACAGGCATCTTATTTTTCTTCTCATATCTTCTACCCTTTTCTCTCCTCCAAATCTTTTTTGAAAAGGATTTGGTCACATTCTTAACTTGTTGATTATTGGCCTTACTCAGTATTTTGTGAAAGGAGCTTCCTTCCATATGTCTGGCAGTGAAAAATCTTAATAGTGCTTTGAATTAAAATTTCTGAAATCTGTAGTCAATTTAGATTTAATAAGGTAATTGTGTGTTTGCAAAATACTAATTGAAAACACTGTGGTTTGGCATTTATTTAAAAGATGTCAACTAATAATGAATCAAAGTTGGAACATACTGAAGCTATATTGTAAGTGTTTATTAAGGGAATTCATTAAAAATATACACTATAGTATTCCATTATTAGCATTCCCTGTTCCAGGTGTTGATCTCTCTGATATGGTTGTTGTGTGGTAAACTCCAGAAACTGTTATAGTCAAGTGGCTGTGTATATCATTCTCTCATCACTCTTGCCAAAAATCTTTATTTGAATAATAATGATAAAATACTGCAACTACCAAAGCCACTTCCTTTTAGGAATTTAAAAATACTCCTAGCTTGTATAGTTATTCCCTTGTAGGCTGGAGCTCTTTCGCTTGTGATAAATTTTCCTTACTGTCTCTTCACTGACATTCCCAGAAATCGACTGACATTTCGGTCTCTGCTCTTTTTCCTTTGGTTGTTCAACTGATAGTTCTTCCCCTACAAAAATTGTTCTCATGTCCTAGCTCTCTTCAGCTTTGTCCATCTGACTCCTACCCACGTAAGCATTAACACACTCTTTGTCCCTAATGTGCCCTTTTCTTTTGTCCGCAAAGTGAATTTGAAATGTGTAGTCTGTCTGGATTTTTTAAATCCCTCTTGCTTTAGGAACTTCTGTGGAGAATTAACCTAGAAGGTGGTGCTGCTCAGTGGGAGAGTGATGTGGAGTGCCAGCAGCCACGTCAGGATGGTAGTATGGATGTAGGTTTGCAGCACTAATGCTGTTTTACTGAGCAGCAGGAAGAAGGGAGCGGGAAGGCGTTTAGGCTAGGACAGTTGGAAGCAGTGAGTGTAATAGGAATGTGGACAGTTTGGGCATAGGTGAAGTGTGGGAACAGTCTGCGTTAGAAGAGGCAAAGGGATCTGAGGCTAGAGGTGTTGGGAGGCTGTGACTCAGAGCCCACTGTGGACATATGGCATTTTGGACCAGGCAGCAGTTGTGAGGTTGGTTACCCTGGGGTGACAAGTTACGGGACCAGAGGCTCCCCTACAATGATGGCTCAATGGAAGAACTTGAGAAAAAAAACGCTGACCATAGTAGGTCGTCATCTGCTATCACTTTCACTCCTTAAACAAAAGGAGACACCTCAAGCAAGGAGCGCAGTTTCAGTGCAGGAATGTATGCGTGAACTACCAGGCCCTTCGGTTTAGGAATGCCAAATTCCTTCCCCAATCTCAATCTGCAGCTTCCCTTGGCAAAATATGATCATTATTGCTCCTTCTCTAAGGTATTCCGTACTGTTCTCTTTCTTAGTCTACTGTTTGATGGACTCCACCCATGCAGATTCCCTGATGTGTATGTTCTCTCTTTCCTTTCCAATACTCGCGTGTTGTTCATTGGTGTCTGCCTCTCATGTACAGCAGTATTGTCTGTGAATAGTTATTATTGTTATTGACATTACTCTTTTCTGCT